TCCGTCAGGCTCGAGAGGTCCAGCAGATAATTGCCAAAGGTGGAAACCCCTCAGACTTGCCTCCTATCCTGCCTGCAGAAAATCCAGACTATATTCAGTGTCCTCACTGTAGCCGCCACTTTGCTCCCAAAGTGGCTGAGCGGCACATTCCTAAGTGTAAGACCATCAAGAACCGTCCTCCGCCTCCAAGGAAGCACTACAGTTGAGCAGACAACAGTGGAAACCTCCTGGGTAGTTCAGAAAGCCCTGCTTTTCTTCAGCAGTAAATGGGAGGATAATTTGATGCAAAGCAGAAAGGACTAAAACTTTCACATCACCCAAATCTGCCTGCAGAGCTGAAATCAGTGAGGACAGATTCATTGCAAAGCAGCAGGAGGCAGAAGGAAGCCTGAGCTTTCAACTAAATTACCACTTCAGGCTGGAGTGTCTTATGTTATTGCCCTAAGAATTGATGGGTGAAGACACTTAAGAGTAGCAAGTAGGCTACATTAAAGCTTTCTTCTGGCAAGCTGACTTGTGGTTTGTGCTAGTTAAGTGCCTGCATTTGCTCTGCCTCCTTGCCACTGGCTCTACATACATGTCTGTGGTTCCTGTTAACTCTTCTTGTTCTTGCAAGAAGTTGGCTTATTAGGTTGAGCAGGTGTCCAAGGATCACCCAGATGGTATCTCTTGTAAAAGATAATACGATTTTGTTGCAAAGCAAATGGAAGTCTATCCTTGACCTGCCTGGTACATGGTCCTGGCAAAAAGCCAATATGAGTATGTAAGATTAGGGTGCCAAAGTATCCCAAACCTTCCCTACTGTATAATAAAGAGAACTTCATCTTTATCTACTTCGCAGGGTAGGGATAGGGCAAAGCATACTATATGTTTCTGCATTTCTTTTCTAATGTCAAAAACAAAAAAAAGAAAAGAAGAAACTTCAGTTTCACCTACTGCTAGCACTCTGCTTTCAAATAAGGTTGGAAGGTTGGTTGGATGGCTTTTTAAATGAGGCAGCAAAATCAAAAAAAGCTGGGACATTTCTGTGTCACATGTCCCTCACTGATTATACAACAATAAACTTCTAATTTAGAAAGTCAACTTTGAAGGAAAAGATACCAAATCTTTTAAATTTTCTCTGTGCAGAATTATGCCTAGTATAAGTAACTTTTATAATCAGGCCCTCAATAAATGGGTTTTGGGGATTTAAAATTAAACAAATAATAAAATGAGTCCTACCTAGACTTGTCAAATAGGAGCAGCGATAAGGCAATGTCCGATAGGGGTAATATCAGGGTTATTCTGAGTGCATTACTCAAATTAATTTAAAATACTGGAAAAAAAAATCACCCAATCCGATCTGGGCAAAGGGGCCTGGGCAGACAAAACCATAGTTTACTAAACAACAGATGGCCACTTAACTCTTGTTCCATTTCCTTTGCAGCTTCTGCTGAGTGGCTGGGCTAACAGATCAGACCAATTTGAAATGTGAATTTAAGGCTTTAACTGTGAAGCTGCAGGACACTAGGCTGAAAAAAAATTATATATTTTAAAAACATATTGTTTTATGCTTTTCTTAATTGTTGCAAAGTGTGTTCTCACATAATAGGGCTTTTGGTTGGCTGCTTAAAGGAAACTTACATAGACATACTGGATATTTAACCCAATATATACATTCCTCAGGCAAGTTTAATGAGGTACACACTTTCACACTTGATTGCGAAAACAATAGATGGCCAGAATGAGCTGTGGCCAAGGCCACAAAGTGGTAGTCTGTGGACTGCTTTGCCGCACAGTTGTTGTACTTGGCTGGCACATCACTAAAAATATAATCTGACATTTAAAAATTGGGATATGGAGCATCTCTTGAAAAACTAAGTTCTGGAAACACCACGCCAGCAACCTGGAATAGCACTAATTGAGTGGGGTTCAGGATCAGTTGCTCCTTCAGATAGGAGGGAGCAACTCAGGTCACCACAGCCCCACCTGGCCTGCTTCACTATTTGCCTTATCTGTCTGGCCCCACGGGCACTTGGGTTTGAGAATCCCTGAATGATGTTACTGAGGTCACAGATCAGGGCCCTCCAAGAAGAACAAATGTGTGTGTGTGGGGTGTGATGGGGGGAGTGCTTTCTATAGACACAGGAAGCTGCTGTTATTCATTCTTGTGCTGCTAGAGAAATGAAACAATAGTCAATGCCCTAGTGTTCCCTTCAATCTCAACATGCTTAGGCCTTGATTATATTAGGAATATCTATTAGTCTTTTAAATTTAGCTTGATCTGGTCTTTGGGTAAAGGTTAAAACTTTTTTCTAAGTCTCTTCCTGAATAGCAGATAAATAAATGATGCCTGTAACTGTCCTTGTGTTATACTACTTTATCCAAGAAACTTTTATGTAAGTAAATATTACAAATTTTAAAGTTCAAAAGGTTAAGCAGTGGGAAAAAAAATCTTATGGTGAAACTCACTTCACTTAAAACTGTACGTAGACCTGCTGAGAATGCTTAACAGCAGTGTATTTAATGCAGCACAGCACCTTATGACCAACATTTTCTTTTTGCCATCAATTTATCACTCTTCATGACATAGGAGGTAGCAGAGATGTGATACTGTTTTTCTCCCTAATGATTCTGTGAGGTTTAGTGATCAGTATGTGTATTTCCACAGTTAATCACTGAAGCAATAAAGGATTTTTGGCTTTGCACCAGAAAGGAACATGTTTTGCAGCCCTGACTACAACACACTTTGTCCTGACACTATCATGAATAATATTCCTCGGAGGCCCAGGGATACTCATTTGAAAGAATTTATTTACAATACATCTTCGCTCCAGAATTGTTCCAAATATATGGCAAACCAAATGAAATGTGAGTTTAAGGCTGCTTTTGCTTTAAACTTTAGTGAAATGCTCAGCCAAGAGGAGTTGTCACTTGGCTGTACTATGCCAGGGGGACCAAACACAGTTCAACCTCTTGGAGAGAAAACACTTTTATAAACATAAACTGGCATTATCAGTGACTGGGGAGGTAAGTACAAGAAGTGATCCTTCCTCTTTTAATGGCTCATTTTCTTTCTCCCTCTGCATTAAAGCACTATATTTTAGAAGTTTTAGTGGGGAAAAGCTGCATCAACAGAAATGATTCTGTTAGCAAGAAAAAGAAATTGGAAAGCAGCAAAGATTATTTCTGTGCAAATGTCCCTTGCATTGTTTCCGTTACAGACCATTTATTTATATACTCATTGAATTAAAGATTCAAGAAGGCCTAGAATCTGAGTGTTTCATCCCCAGTGACTAAGGTCCATGCGCAGACTGAGGCATAGCACTGATTTGAGTTTAAATGTTTATTTAAAACAGAAATGCCAAACCACTCCACCCTCAATCTTTCAAACATCTGGCTAACAAAAAGCTAGTTCTTCAGCAACAATGTCAGAGCAGAGGAGTAACTCAGGTTATACTATAACTCGAAAGCGATACTACTGGAAATACACCTAATACTGCACTGAGAAGAAAAGCAGAACAAAATTTAAGAGAATTAGCTACAGAAAACCATTCAAAGGCATTGCTGCTGCTGCCTCACCTTTCACTTTTTACGTAATGCATGGCTGCTACCTTTGAGCTGGTTTCCATTTGCATAGCTTTTTGGTGGGAAAAATCATATGGCTGTCCCAGGCACAATATGGGAAAGTGCAAATTGTCTCTAAGGCACAGAACTTAGATTCTCAGCCAGATTAATAGCAAACCTAGGCTTCCCAAGGGAACATGCTAGAGAAAACGACCACAGCATTCCACTGTTAGAGAACAACTCCCCTCTGGACAAGAGCCGGGCTCTCACCGCCCCCTTCAATGCTCACTTCCATCCCACAGTCTCAGCAACGTCCCATGTTCTTTAGTTCCATAGCAGAAGCAACACTCATGATTTAACACCCAAACTGACCCTGCCTCTCAGGCCTGCTGAGATGGTGAGCATGAGGGATACAGGGGAATGAAAGGCCAGTCAGTCCTTAAAAAAAAAACAAAACAAAAAACCAAAGTTGCACTTACATGTTAGGGTTTATAGCAAACCCCCAAGTCCCCAGAACTTGTAGCTTAATCCAGGGTTGGCCCCTTCCCTTATTTTAAGAAAAGGCTTCAGTGATTACATTAGTACCATTGTACTAGGCTTCCCAGAATTGAGAAAACAATGGGAACATCAAACCAAAGAAGATCCCATTAAACAGAGTTGCCCATCCCCAGCCATGGGGTTTTCCCCAAGCATCAGCCTTTACATCACCAGTTTCAGGGAAATGGCAAAATTTCCATTGCACCGGTCCTTCCAAAATATTAAACAGATATTCACTTTGGTTTAGGGAAAATGAAACAAAAATTAATGTAGCTGTTTCTAGGGAGGTAGGATATGAGGCTCATCAAGACAGCTCCTGTGACCCAAACAAAATATAGGAAACTTTCATAAGGCTAGGTGGAAACACAGAGCTCACATCCTTAAGAAAAATCATCAAATGCTCCTAGGACATTTTCTCTCTTTGAGAAAGCTAGGTTGCTTCTGTCTACCAGGACACAATGACTATGGGATTAGAAGGAGCTTTTGGCCAAATTCCTTTCACTCAGCAGGTTGTACCTGTTCTGTTAGGCTGCAGGGATTACCAAGTTTTGGTGCTGGCTTTGGGCTACTCAAACAGGAAAGATGATACAGATTCACTGACATGGCTTCATAAAACACCAAAAGGGGTAAAATACTGGCTAGACATACAGAAAGGGAGTGGTTGGGGCTGCTGTTGTCAAGCTTAGAACCCTAAGAGCCATGAAGGCAGAGGCATAAGAAGCCTCATGGGCAGGAGACTTAGTCACTGTAGGCCCTCTCAAAGATACCAAGTAGAGGCAGCTAAAGGAGGGCTTTCTCTCCCTCACGGTTTTCTCTTAAGGCCATTTCTACTGCCCCACTGACTCAATTCTCTACGGGACATATCATCTCTTAGAAGTATCTGCCAAATCTAGGAAAGCCCACCCTGCATCGGCCACAGCCTGAAACTCTAGCTGTGTGATCAGGAGGGACCTGCCCTTCTTTCTCTACTCACTGAAGAAATTTCAATTAACCCTCACAGGAAAAGCAATCTAAGCCTACTTTTCCTCCTAAAGCATTTAGCTGCACGAAGTAATTGAACTTTCTGAAAACAAACCCCAGACTGACTCCACCGGACATATTTTCCTGGACTCAGGCCTCCTGAGCAGGCTCAGAACCCTTCGCCACTCTTCAGATGACCCTAGATGGACCACGCCTGGTTCTAGCCCATTCCAGCTTTACACTTTTCCATCCTCCACCCAGAGGTGCAATGCCTGGTGTTGAATTCCCAAGGCAGCTTCCAATTAATGATGAAAATGATAAATAGGATATAAGCTGCTACCAGCAAAATTAAGGTGAGCATTGTGTCTCCTCTTCAAAGGTGGGATCACGAGATGAGGTACAGAGCTGCTGTTGCTATGGCAGTCACTGAGGACAAAGCCAGGGCCACAGGGCCCTTCCATTCTCCAAAACAAAACCACTCCTAGATCCTATCTAATAGGCACTGCCACTCTCCAAGTGTACGTGGAAAGTGCTTCAGAGCCTCCGCCTTGCGCTCCTTGTCTGCAAGTGAACAAAGCCAGGAAAGCGCTCTCTGCATTCAGTAAGTGTGCTGTGAAGTTCTTTGGATCCCAGTTTCCTGGAGGCTATACAGGTTCAGGAGACTAGAGGCTGGGTCGACAGGAATCTGTTCCCAGGAGGCACCAGGAATCTGAATCTAAGTCAGGCTTTGCATCCATTTCCATCTCTTCCTTTGCTGTTTGAGTTCCTTTGGAATGCATCCCCACCTGTCCAGGTAAAACACAGTTCCACATTAACAATACTGCCATCTAGTCACAGCAGTTCAGAACTAGATTTTCAGTGTCAACCTCTAAAGATTTGTAGCTAGTTTTGCGAGAAACTCATAATGCTACCTTAGGGAAAGTCTACACCTTTACATTTACTGCAGGTAGGATGACAAACTGTCCTGGTTTGCTCAGGACTACGTAATTTTCTGGGATTCAAAACTCTCAGTTTTAAAATTGAGACAGCCCTAGGCAAAACATTCCTCCTGCCAGCTACAGCTGCCAGTCTCTCCATGCTTACCTCAAGTGTGTGGATTATTTGCCAAAGTATTTTCATAGACATTATTTCATTTAATCCTCAAAACAACCATACATGAGTGGTATTACCTTTTTCTTTTAGGTGAGAAACCAGGTCTCATAGAAATAAAGTAATTTGTCCAAACACACAAAGCTGGTAATGGCAAACCCAAGGATTGAATCATATTTCCCTATCCTAGTTCACTCTGTATAGAGTAACACAATGGCTCTTTATACACAATGCATGCAAAAAAATAAATAAAAAATAAAAGCAATGCATGCAGCATCACCTGTGAAGAATTTTTACCAAAAATGTTTTACTTAACTCTAATTGAGCCTTAAGTCTAACTTCCAAGTAACAAAAGAACAAGTTAAGCAATGTCCTAAGAAAATAAGACAAATCTAGAATGTGAGATATTCTGTTAAACTGATCCCATTTTTTCAAGTCAATGCCATGAAACTTAAAAAAGGGTGATGGTGGTGAAGGAAATTGTTCTAGATTAAGAAAAACAGGAGACATAACAATATAATGTGGGATTTTTGACTGGATTCTGATAAAAACAGTTATAAAGAACATTTTTGTGAGAAAATTGGGAAAATCTGAGAATCAACTGTGTGGCGAATGAAAATTAAAATGTGTTAATTTTGTTAAGTGTGATAATAGTGTTGTGGTTATCCAGGAGAACAAATGTCTTTATTTTTGGATATGTATAATAAAGTATTGGGGAGGGGAGAGACTATTGAAAAGAATTTAGCAAAATACAAATAAATAAATATACCTCCCCCCACACACACTTGAAACAAATATAGCAACATGTTAACAACTGCTGAATCTAGATGGTGGATGTATGGGTACTCACTGAACTGTAATATTTAAGGTTTTCCATAATAAAAAGGAAAGGAAAAACAAAAATTAACAAAAAACAATGGAAGTTAGATGATAAAAATAATTCAACCTAGGTGCTTAAACAAGACCCAGGGCTTCTGGGGTTAATTACAAAAGTCACATCATCAAAAGGTAAGTACTTGTAAAGGAGTAAGTCTATGTTGTCCTTGCTGTTTTGTGTGATTCTTCAAAACAAAATCAGAAACTGAATTGTTCTTTTAATGCCCACCTGCTGCCCTCCTTCTAATTTCTTGTTCAGCTTCTGTAGTTGAGTAAAAATCTGGAGGTTTTCTTGCTGTAGCTTCTGTTGTTCAGCCAGACACTTTAACACCAGACCCTGCAATCTCTCAACCTCTACCTGCAGAGTGCTGCATGCACACGTAGGAGTCACTGGTGTTCCCTTCCCAGCACATGTTCCTGAAGGATTCAGCTGTGGTGGCTGAAGAGTGAAGACAGAAAGATCATAGGAGGTTCTGCCCAGATGCCACAGCTCCCCAATCCAAATTTCCTGTAAGTGCTATCAGATTTTAAAGTAATAAGATATAACATATATACACAAAATAAACACAAGAGAAACAGAAAACTGCCAGGATTATAAGAGCACCTGGCTCTAACATAACAGGGCAAGAGAACTCTCAATGCCTCAGTCTCTGTTATGCTAAGGTAAAAGAACAATGATCTGTTTTGGAGGACTTTGTGAAGATTTTAAAGTGTACTGTTATTTTCCTGAATAACAGGAAAATAAATGCTGAAGTGGGGGAAAGCATGATTTAGTTTGGAACAAAATTTTCTGATCACAGTGAGGACACTGTGATCCAAAGGGTCAATATTTATGAAATGTAGTGGAGCACACTTCAGAAGAGTTTGAGAGGTGTTCAGTAAACAGGATCACCAAGACAAGTCAAGATGGCTAATTGACAGAGGAATTAAAACATTCACCTTTAAGTTTCAAAAGTTTTATTAGCTCTTCTGGGAAGCTTTTCAATGTTCCTTGTCTGAATTTTTTTCCCTTCTTCTACTGTATTTTGTTTATAGCAAGGGTCAGTATAAGACCGTCCACAGGCCAAATTAGACCTACTGCCTGTTTCTATAAAAAAAAAAAACTTCTATTGAAACATAATCAAGTTCTTTCATTATGTATTATCTATGGCTGCTTTTGTGCTACCATGTCAAAGTGGTATAGCTAAAAAAGAGACTGTATAGTCCATAAAGCCTAAAATAATTAATGTGTGGACCTTTACAGAAAAAGTTTGATGACCTCTGGTTTACAGTTTTATTGAGATATCTACCACAATTTGATTTCTATGAAGATTAGGTATACTTTACTAGACTACCCGTCCTAGCAGTGTCATGAAAAACTGCATTTGAATTTTGGAATTTCAATTTTGATACTTCTGAGGCAAAGAGAAAAGACAGTCCTCTGGAGTAGAAAGGTATTAGCCTGGCAGAAATGTGAAAGGGTAAATACTTTTCCAAGACAACTCAGTTTATTCTTCAGTAGAGGCTTTAGCACTACTAAATAGACACTATAATGAGCTGATACAGGGCAGCTGGGAGACCAATGACACTAGAGCAGACAGGCCAAGAGAACTGGGCAGAGCTCACAGCCACTATTACTTAGTTCAGATTCAAAGGCAAAAGGCTCAGTTACCCAGGCTGCTACTGGGGGCTTATGTTCCGGAGGTGCTTCAGAGGCTACTTTGAGTCCTTGCAGCTCTTCATAGGGCAGGGTATCTTTCTCAGATTCTGCAAAAACTGCACTTAGGGGAGATGGGCTGTCAGGCATGGGAATGAATTCTGCATTTTCCAGCTCCTATGTATAAGAGAAAGAATCTCATCAGTTTTGAGTCATTTACTTTCTTCCAAATTCCTTTCTTGCTATAGCTTTCACTCTGTCGTGACATCAGCACCCTCTAGTGGGGCAGGACAGTCGTGGTTATAACATAGCACCCTACCTGTCCACAGTCGGCATCCCTTCCTCAAAGGGGTTACAGTGATATGAATTCAAATTCAAGAACACCGTTTGGAGTGTCTGGCATGTTTCCCCAACACACTTATTCTACACAGGCTATTCAGTGAGTTGGGAACCTCTAAGGTGATGTTAGCAAGGCCAACTGCCAGGCTTCTAAAGGCTGAGGCTGACACTGTAGATAGGATGATGTGCTGCTTCCTTCATTCATACTCCTACACAGCTACCAAGTTTAGCTATCAAGTTATTATATAGGCAGCTGTAAATTTATTATTTTAGCAAAAAATTTAAAATTTCACAAACTATAAACGTCCACTGTAGAAAATGAGAAAGTAGAGATGGGCAAAAGGTGATGGTAAAAGTCACCAGTGATTCCATCACTCACAGATACCACTGTTAAAATGATCAATATATATAGTCTCCAGAGTAGACAGTCTTCTATGCATTACATATTTTCTAAAAAAATGGGATCATACTATACATATTCCATACTTTTTTGCATAAACATATGCTATAACCAACTTTCTATATAAATAAATATACTCCAACATTTTTACTGTCTGCACTTTAACTCTCATAATCCATTTCTGTTGTAAGGCATTCCCATTGCCCCAATATTCCACTTCTACAAACCACATTACAAAATTTATAAGCTTAATCTTTGCACACATACATTACAAAAACTGCCTTCAAGGAAGGTTGTATTAATTTACATTCATTTAAGTAATACAGGTATGAGAACATTCTGTATCTCTTCTTGTCAGGAAGAAAAAAGGATTAGAGATTTGGTGATTTTGTTCCAGGTAGAAATCAGAATCTAGATGCCTGCTACAAAACATGTGACTAGGACAATGGGAAACTGAGAGATTGTGACAACTCCTTTCTAGTCCATGCAAAGGGCCTGACATTTTATCTCAGGTACCTCTACCAAAGGAATTACCTTTCGAAGCCAGCCAGGACAGGAGCTGCTGGCCCCACTACTGATCCCCATGGCCTCCGTGGGACTGACTAAACCTTCCATTCCTCGGTCTGCTTCCATTGTTCCTCGGAAGCCTCCACTTGGATCAGGAGTTTCAGATTCCTGATGACTGTCCTCCTCTTCTCCCCCACCACCGCCACCGCCGCCGCCGCCTCCCGGGCTAGAACTCTGAACCACTGACAGATACACAGCACAGGAATAGAAAGCTTTGCTATGCAGTAAGAAAGATTTACCATCTTATAGTCCCACTGACCCCTGGATCAGTTATTAGAGTTGCATAAAGTGAAAGAGCAACAGTGTGAGTCAGATATTTGGGACTAAATTTTTAGTTTTCACACAAGGTATTATATATCAGTATCTTCATAATGATATTCACTTCTACTTTCCAAACTTGCTTATCCTTATGTTCACAGCAAATGATCAATGTTCTAAAGTATAACTGAACAATCACCCCCACCATAGCTCACCAAATCTAGCACTCACGCTTTAGATATATCCAGATTCCAGCATCTTCCACAGAGGTTCATCTTAGATACAGAGCTCTCACATTTGAGCCAAACACCACTTAAAGTTGCCAAATAAACTCATCACTAACTCCCTTTCTGGGGAAACATCTGAATGGAGAAATCTTCAATCATTAAATTCATTAAATTCTTTGATAACTATTTGTAAAAAATTTTTAAATATGATGGCTGGTTCTTTCATGCAGCATATTCCAAGTTACCTTAATGAAGACTAGCTGATGTGCAGTCAAGAAATGAAAATGAATTTTAATATGGGACAAAGGAAAATATAATTTAAAAAGTAAATTTGCCAAAGTAAAAAAAAATCACGTGGTATATTCTAAAGTTAAATGTAAATGACTGGTTATGATCACCAGCTACACTGGCTTGAGGACTGATGGTGTGATCCTACAGAAGCAGCAGAACTGTAGATGCCAAAATAAGCTCTGATACTTGTTTTTTGTTTTAAATGGCTTTAAAAAATTATGTCATATTTGAGATATTCATAAGACTATTTTTAACATATGTGTAAGTTTTGATGCCTAACAAAATAAACATATACGAATCTACCAGTTAAAGAACTAGAGTCTATTTTCCAATATTGTAGTCACTAGTCATATATGACTATTTAAGATTAAAAATTCAGTTCCTCAGTCACAGCAGCCACTTGTGGCTAGTGGCTATTATACTAGACAGCACAGATATAGAATATTTCCATTGTTGCAGAAAGATCTATGGGACAGTACTGAACTAGAATATTATCTATAACATTCTACCTGCTTTGTAAATTCCTTCTCTCTTTGGCCTCCTATCCAGATGTAACCACTGTTTAATTCTGTATTTATCATTTCTTTAAAAAAAAGCGTTATCACATATTAATGTATCCTTAAGCAATATATTACTTATTTTGCTGGGTTTTGTACTTATTAAAAAGGCATGTAGTTTGTTCCAACTTGCTTTTTATATTTCACATTATGGAAATATTTGTAGATGCTCATTTTTACTCTTGTATAATATTCCATTGGATGGTTATAACATATTCAACCAACAAATATATATTGAGCATTTACTATTTGCCAGGCGCTCTTCTAGGCAATGTGGATACAATTAATGAATAAAAAAGACAAAAATCCCTGCCCTTATGAAGTTTACATTTTCTAGCCAATTGATGTGAGCTTTTAATCTTAAATACTATTTTCCTTTAAATACTATTTCAGAAAAATAAAGCTCTATTAGAACAGCTGTGCTTAGCAAAAAAATATTTTATCATTTGCGACAGACTGATATGCACAAATAAATGCTGAGCAATGGATTACTAAAGGAAACTAATGAGGGATGATGTGAGTGCATGTGTGTGTAAAAGAAAGGTCAACAGCCTAGATCGGATTTCGACTATTTCTTTTTGGAAGATTAATGTGCTTTTATTCTGGGTCTTTATCTGTTTTGATTCCACAAAATATCGGAATCCAAGTTCTGAGACATCAAAGACTATAGTACAGGTATTCTAGCAAATAGAAAAAACCAAAAAAAAACACACGTTCAATTTCCCGGCATGGTCCCAAATAACAGAGCACCATGAAGAAAGCCAAAGGAAACTATCAGAACCTTGCGCTGATTTTCCTACACTTGAAAGTTTAGCCAACTTTTAATTCTGAGGGCCTGTTTTGAAGAACTGTTTCTATAGACTGGAATACTCCTGGGAATACCATGGAAGTACAGGGTGGATAGAATCCACAGCCCCTAAGCATAGTGAGGAAAGGAATGATACATAAGTCATATTACAATGTTGGGCAAGCCACTTAATTATTTCCATATGCTTGGTTGCAGTGATGGACTCTCCCTCTGACTGCAATGTTACTGTGAAATCCACCAAAATCTGATCCTTTCTTTTGATCACCATATTCCTCGTTTCCTAAAGATATTTCCTATTTCCTTTTTGGAGACCTCATGTACTCTAAACCAAAGATCCACACCTCACAAGACTCCTGTATCAGACACTGCTACTTACCAGTTCCAATGGATAAGCCACTGCTGTTGGAACGGATGGTCTTAGAATTCAACACTTTCTCTGAGGAAAAATATTCAACAGGTAAGCGTTACATACAGCTACAGGCAGGAAAACTGAGAAGCCTAGGACAGAGAGCTAGCTGATGTAGGAGATAATTGCTATCCCTCACTCCAGATAACTTAAAATTACTTCTGGTTCAGATATTAATGTCATAAGCCAAGTATCCCTAGCTGCTCTAACTATATTGACTATGTATAGTAGTAATTCTCCATCTTAACTATTTTTTGGAACCACCTGGGGAACTTTAGAAAATAACAATGCCTAGGTCCTACCCCAGAAATTCTGATTTAATTGGTGAGAATACTGGGATGTCTATAAGCTCCTCAGGGGATTCTAATGTGCAGCCAAGGTTGTAAAAGAACAGATTTGTAAACCCTCATGCAGGCCTTTATAATTTAGATTAGCAAAGTAATCTTTATGCAGAAAGGTTCTTTTTAAAGGTATACTAGCTGGTCTAAGGCCATGCCGCCCTAAGTGCCCAATCCCGTCTGATCTCGGAAGCTAATAAGCAGGGTTGGGCCTGGTTAGTACGTGGATGGGAGACCACCTGGGAGTACCAAATGCTGAAGGCTAAATAAATAAATAAATAAATGTAGACTAAATGTTTCTCACGACAGCATAAACACAAACAACAAATTAATTAGTAGAGGACTAGAAACAACAAATTTCTGGCAAGAGGGCAGAAATTTTTTTAAAAAATGGTCAAGAAGTCGTAAATGACAAAGCTCAGGAAGTGACATTGTTCTCTTCTTACTACAGCCAGCAGTATCTTAGGAGTGGGTGGGGGTCTATTCTCTGTCAAAACCACCCCAACCCAAAGATATGAAACCCTTACCAACAATGAGAATGGTGTGCCAGCCACGGCAAGATAGGTCCGGGACGTGATGCAGAGATCCAAAAATAGGCCGAGGCCATGAGGTACAGATATCAGAGCCATGAGGTCTCTCTGTGGGGGTCATTGCCAGGCGGCCATTACCACCATTGCCCCAGGCAAATATGTGATTGTCTAGAAAAAAATTAATAGCAGATAGTTTAACAGAACACCCACTTCCCAACTCTTTGGGTTCCTGATCTTTATGCCTTAGAGCTAGGATGATTTTCTACTATGTACGAAACAAGGGAACCCCGTGTAAGCCTAAACAACTCCTGATGCCGCTGAGGTAAAAATCATCTCTCCTATGTACTGCCATCCATTCATCTGTTCATTCACTCCGGCAATAACTTTTTTTGATCATTCATTCAAATATTTATTGGACATCTACTTCATGACAGGTACTGCTCAAGGTGCTGGGGACGGAGCAGTGAATGAAACAGTTGCTGCTCTTTTGGAACTGATTCTAGTGAAAGGAGATTGATAAATAAAAAAATAATACTTCGGGTAGTAAGTGCTATGAAGAAAGACAAATAGTAAAGAAAAATAAGTGGAAATAAAAAATAATAGTGGGGTACTATTTTAGATAGGGTAATCAGAGAAATACTCGTTGACACTTGGCAGAGACCTGACTGAATGAGAGAGAGTGCCACATGAATATCTAGAGGAAAAGCTTTCCAGGCAAAGGAAACAGCAAGTGCAAAAGTCCTGCGTAGGTAACGTGAGCATCACGAACAAGGAACAAGAGGGCTCTGCAGCTAGAGCAAAGTAACAGAGGGCACATGGTCAGAGGTCAAGAAGTGACTGGGGTCCTGATTATGTAGGGATATGCAGGCTGCTGTAATGACTTTGGTTTTTATTGAAAGAGAAAACCAGTAGAGGTTTTGAGCAATAGTTATTTAAAAAAAATTCCTCTGGCTACCATGAGGAGAATCGAATGCAGGGGACCAAGGGTAAAAGGAGAAAGCCCAGCTGTAGTACTAAAGATGCTGAGAAATGGCTAGCTATATTCTAAAGATAATCAATAGGTTTGCTGATGGATAGGATGTGGGGTGTAGGATGGAGCTGCCATTTACTGAGACGGGAAGGCTGCAGGTAGAACAGGTTTGTGCAGAAAATCAGAAATTTGATTTTGAATATAGTAAGTTTGAGATGCCTCTTATTTCTTATCCAAATCAGGACATTTTTTAACCCACTTCCTGTTTGCCTGGAGAATACTCACTGGCGGCACTTGTGGCTGTAGCGTTTATTCCGAAATAACTCGCGGATTACAGTCCTAACCTTACCCCCAAAGTTTGCCATGAAACAGCTCCCTTTTAGTATTATTTTCACATCACTCTAGTGTATCAATAGTCTTTGGAAACAAATGATATCACTTTATTCATGGCATTCTGTTTTTAGCAGTGGTATTTCCATTTACAAAATATAGTAATTCTCAATCGCTGAAAATGTCAAATCCTAGAAAACGTAGCGTAATGTTAACGTCGTTCTAGAACAGTTGTTAGCTGAAGATTTGATGAATCTGATTTATGAACACATTTGTTATATTAGGATTAGAGAGACAAGTTCTGTTTAGAAATAACTCCAAGAACAGTTTTTACATTTTATTTTCACATTGAAAACCAGTCAGATTTGCATCAGCCTAAAAGAGTGTGTTTATGTAAAATTGAATTAATGCAGGCAGTGAGCTGCACTTTTTTTTTTTCTAAACAGGAAATAGATTAATGAAAAGGGGGTGATACTGATGATTAAGCCAGGACAATAGGCATGAATCAGAACTGACCTAGGAAAACTGGGCTATTAAGCCACCCTATCTTTAAACATCTTAGTTGAGGGGCTGCTGATTATGTGAGTGTGGAGGTCAGGGGTGGTAACATAAAGTTATCAGTGTATAGGGGGACTGAAGGTAATGAGCTCACTTAGGGATTGAAGGGAGAGAGAGAAAGTGGAGAGAGAGAAAGATTGAGCCCTGGGAGCTCCAGGAATTACAGGAGGTGGATACTGCCATCACAGCACTTGATCTAGCTGCCTTTACTAGCCTATTTATATGGATATCTTCCCTACCCTACTAGATTGTGAGCTCCTTGAGAAGAGGGACTTCCTGAGACTCACTTCTATATTCCTAGAGCCTAAAAGAGGGCCTGGCACACAGTAAGCACTCAGTTTGTTTGCTGTATGAATGAGGTGATCTAGTACAGTTCATAAGAATCCAGCAACATTTATCAAGAGGTACTATGCCCAGACACAGAATCCAATTCTATACCCCTCATTCTGAAGTTTAACTCATGAAGTACACGTATCTATTGAAGGAACAGTACCTCTTTGAAGCCCTGTTGGAAAAATGTTACTGAACTTGCTACATTAAATTGAATCCTTAGTGACATCCTGACTTTGTCTTTCCCGGTAACATTTCCATTTATCTAGTCTGACAGAAAGTTTGCTTCCTCAAATCCTTTGTTTTGGGACAAGCAGAGAAGGTTAATGTGCCATTCTGAAAGTTGGTTCACTCATGTGACAGCATCCCTGGATCCCTCATGTGTAACCAAGAGGCATAGACCAAAAGAAAACAAAGACATCTCAGAGCATGAACACCAACAAAAAAAAGCTGAAATGAGTTAAAAAAAAAAAAAAAAAGAGGTGAAATGTGATTTGTTGTTTACCAGTCACAAGAAAGAAGTAGCTGCAAAAATCAAAAAAAAAGTTCAGAAGGTGATATGGGAAGAAGAGAGCAAAAAGAGAAAAAAAAGAAAGAAGAGGGAAGGAAATGAATACTAGCAGAAGTGACAGTAAAGAGAAGCAGTGATAGGAGCAAGAAGATGCTGTGGAGGAGAAATAGCTATGAGAAGAGAAGAAAATTCGGACCAATTCAGAAAGCTGAGAAACACACAGTATACAACTCTTCAAGCCTTAGCAGTTCCTAAGGACATCACTGCAGTGCAGCTGACCCCAACCAAAAAGCAAGGTTAAATTATGTTGGTCTCCTTTCCAGCCACCTAGCTAACATTTATTGAAAGCCATGTGGTGCTGAGAAAGGTATATATACATAAATATTTAATTATTCTTAAAACATCTTACCAAAAAGTTAAAGTAAAAAAAATTAGGTACTTAGAATATTAACCTGCCATTATTTAGAAACCTGACCTTTTTAAAACAATCACTATGTTGGACACATGATAAGTTAATGAAGCTCCGTACGCACAACGGGCTATCAATTTAATACAAATAAAATGGTAAATATATACAGCTACACAAATAACCGGTCCACTTCTTTCCCAACCAAAAATTAAAACACAATCATTGTCCAGAAAGCTTGAAAGGACATTTACAGACTCACCATCAGTGGCAGCAATGGTAAACTCATCACCACAGGAGACCCTGATCACTTGCTTCCCACCTAGGGGTCCCCCCAACAGGTTGATTCCCAGACGCTTTTTATAATTCCCAACTCCCAGTTGTCCACATTTGTTGCAGCCAAAGGTCAGCAGCCGGCCTCGCTCTGAGAGAGAAGCAAAAATAAATAACCAGGCACAAATGGGTCATGGAATAGAGGGAAAAATGCAGCCAATGCAGAGTTCCATGGACTAGCTTCTGGTTGTTAGAGTACATATACAAATATAGCTAGCTACACCATCCTGGATGTAGGGCAGCTAAGGTACCTAGAACTACGACCAATTAGAGCCAGAAAAGACTCAATACCGTATTTTTTAATACTGTATCTTAATTGTAGAAAATGGGTATTAGCATTCTTATTAAGGCATATATTGATTATGCATTTATAACGATTATCAAAAAAACATTTACTTGAATACCTTTATTTGTTAATGAGATAATCCTGGATTGTAGGGGGAAAGGAAAATAACATATATATTTTTAAGAAAAGCTAATACTTGATAGAAAAAAAGAGCCTGAACTACTAAGGCCTGTGTACAGCTGTAAATCAACTCACCATCAATAGCAGCTGTGTGAGTCTTGCCTGGGGCAATTGTACGGATCTTATAAAAGGACAACTGCTTGGCCAA